GCTCAAAAATACACTTTTCCCAAAAGATTTCCACAATTTTAGCCACTACTTTCTTTCTCCTTTAGAGAGTCTTTCCTCTTTTTTTTTGGAAGGGGGTAATGCATTTGCTTGCCAAATGTGCCTGGGGCTAAGATTTAAAAAGAATGAACCATATACAGAAGAACTTTGAGACAGTAGTAAAATTCTTTTTTTTTTTTACTACCGGTTCTGTGGGCGTGGCTTGGTGGGCGTGGCAGGGGAAGGATACTGCAAAATCCCCATTCTCTCCCCACTCCTGCAGGAAGGATATTGCAAAATCTCCACTCCCACCTCACTCTGGGACCAGCCAGAGGTGGTATTTGCCGGTTCGCCGAACTACTCAAAATTTCTGCTACCGGTTCTCCAGAACCTGTCAGAACTTGCTGGATTTCACCCCTGCTTTGAGACCTGTTTCCCCTCCTTCTCAGTTCTTTAATCTTTGCAAAACTGCATTTCTTTTCCTATTTTCAAATTGGAGGAGATAAGCTACATTTGAGTTTGCAGCAGTCCAGAACTCTGTGCTTTGCAGCGTTTCCTGGAATGCCCATGTAACACATTGCATGGTTACATGCTCATTCCAGGAAGATCTTTGTAATCCGAGCTGCAAATGTGGATATTGAAATTATATTAAAAAGCAGGACTAAAAATCCTGCCATTTGGCTGCCTTAATCAAAGAGATTCCTTGTCCCCTTTTTGGAAATATCAGCCCAAATCTTCCCTTTTCTTGTCTCAATATTTGTTTTCATTTGGTTCAAAAAAAAAAAAAAAAAAAGAGTTTGCCAACAACAAATAAACCTTCATTTAAAATTTCCCTGCTGCTTTTCTGTAATGGCTGACAGCCAAATGGAAACAACCAGGAATTAAAATTCCAAGCAACTGGGACGGCTAAGATCAGCAGCTGCAGGACAATGTTGAAATAATGAGCAACTCAAGTGTGTATTGCAAACATTGAAGCCAATAAAACTTTTTTAACATGATGAAAAGAAAACTGGTCGCTGGGCAGCAGTCCAACCTACCTCTTAAGGTTGTTGTTGAAGGGAAAAAATAGGAGGGGGAGTACCTAGAATTTTGCTGCTTTAGTCAGTAGGATGAGCCGAGGTGGCACAGTGGTTAGAGTGCAGCACTGCAGGCTACTTCAGCTGACTGCTAGCTGCAGTTCGGCAGTTCAAATCTCAGCGGCTCAAGGTTGACTCGGCCTTCCATCCTTCCGAGGTGGGTAAAATGAGGACCTAGATTGTTGGGGGCAAGAGGCTGATGCTGTAAACTGCTTAGAGAGCAGTTTAAAAGCACTGTGAAGTAGCTATATCTATCTGTCTGTCTGCCTGCCTGCCTGCCTGCCTGCTTGCTATCTGTCTGTCTGTCCGTCCATCCATCCATCCATCCATCCATCCATCCATCCATCCATCCATCCATCCAATCCATCCATCTATCTATCTATCTATCTATCTATCTATCTATCTATCTATCTATCTATCTATCTAATATATCCCTCCCTCCCTCCAGCTATCCACCTACCTACCTATCTACCTACCTACCTACCTACCTACCATCCATCCATCCATCCATCCATCCATCCATCCATCCATCCATCCATCCATCCATCTATCTATCTATCTATCTATCTATCTATCTATCTAATATATCCCTCCCTCCCTCCAGCTATCCACCTACCTACCTACCTACCTACCTACCTACCTACCCACCCATCCATCCATCCATCCATCCATCATCTATAAGAACCGAGGTGGCACAGTGGAGTGCAGCATTGCAGGCTACTTCAGCTGATTGCTAGCTGCAGTTCGGCAGTTCAAATCTCAGTGGCTCAAGGTTGACTCAGCCTTCCATCCTTCCGAGGTGGGTAAAATGAGATTGTTGGGGGCAAGAGGCTGACTCTGTAAACCGCTTAGAGAGGGCTGTAAAAGCCCTGTGAAGTGGTATATAAGTATATAAGTCTAAGTGCTATTGCTATTGCTATGAGTGCAATATCACACCATTGAATGAAAGAGAAAGAGTTTGCAACACAACTATTTGGTGCTATTTGGTCTGTTTATTTAAAAACGACGATCCGACTGTCAACATCCTGCCTTTTATTCACGTATTTCTTTAATCCAAATTGAAGTTTGGGTCTTCTTCTAATCAAATTGGTGACCTTAATTTCGCACTAATTTATATTTGTACCTTTGGTTTTTTTACGTGTTGATTGTTGTACTATTAAGGAAATAATAAATCATTTCTAAAATCTGTCTGGGCATAAAGCAACCTGCATATAACTTGCTGTGTGTTTTAATTAGATGGAAGAGTCTGAAAATAAACATCATTATCAGCTGTAGTGTCCTTTGTCTGGATCAGCCTAGATAAGAAGTGCAACCAGCACTGGCTTTAACTTTATTAGATTATATTAATAGAAACTTGCAAGTCTGAAAGAACATCTCTCCTCCCTTTAGAGTCCATTTAACTAGGGAGGGTCCTTCAGAGATGTTTACCAGATGTTTATCTTCAGAGATGTAATCCAGAGTTGGGATTCAAAAATTTCAGCAACCAGTTCTCTGCCTGGTTGCTGGGTGGGCGTGGCCATGGTGGGCATGGCCTACTCAGCATCCTGAACTATGGCAGAGGGGGGGGGGCATTTTCACCCTCCCCAGGCTTTGGAGGCTTTTCTTGAGTCTCTGGGAGGGTGAAAAGGGCCTTCCCAGGCTCCGGAGGCCATCCAGACGCCAGAAACAGGCCCATTTCTGGAACTTCTAGGAGGCCTGTTTTTCGCCCTCCCAGAGCCTCTGCGCGGGCCCTGCACTTACCTGGCATCCAAAACAGGCCATGTAGAGACTCCTGGGAGGAGAGGGGTGGGCGGGGCAGGGCGGGGCTAGTCAGTCCTTGCAACTACCGGTTCGGCGAACCAGATGTAAAATTAGCATCCGGTTCGCCCGAACTGTTCCGAACCAGCTGAATCCCCCTCCTGCTATAATCCAGTTCTTTCTGTGAACTCAACTGTCTCTTATTTGACAGTTGCCTAATCTGTGAACTCTTCCTTCTGTCTCCCAAGGTCATTAAAGAGAATAACTGAGTTGGAAGGGACCTTGGAGGTCTTCTATTCCAACACTCTGCTCAAGTAATAGACTGTATCATTTTAGACAATGGCTGTCCAATCTCTTCTTAAAAACCTCCAGTGTTGGAGCACCACAACTTCTGTAGGCAAGCTGTTCCATGGATTAATTGTTCTAACTGTCAGGAAATTTCTCCTTTGTTCTAGATTGGTTCTCTCCTTGATTAGTTTCCATCCGTTGCTTCTTGTTCTGCTTTCAGGCCCTATCCTATAGCAATAGCACTTGAACTTATATAATACAAATTCACTGTGCTTTACAGCTCCCTCTAAGCCAGGGATGTCAAACTGAAGGCCTGGATCCGTCCCATGGGGTGCTTAGGGGGCTAGATCCGTCCCATGGGGTGCTTAGATCTGGCCTGTGAGGCCACCCTGGAAACAGAGAAGGACCTGCCTGCAGTGCCCCTGCCATCAGAAATGGAGCTAGCCATCAGCCTTTCATCCTTCCAAGGTCGGTAAAATGAGGACCCAGATTGTTGGGGAGCAATAGGCTGACTCTGTAAACTGCTTAGAGAGGGCTGTGAAGCCATGTGAAGCGGTATATAAGTCTAAATGCTATTGCTATTGCTAAATGTTGTTTGTGGAGATTTTGTCAATGCTGATGATGCTCCTGGTTTTTAGGATTGCACCCAAGGCACCTATTACTGTTGGTCCTACCTTTGCTTTCTTTTGTCATAATTGTTCTTTTTCTATTTGCAGGTCTTTGTGTTGTTATCTTCTCCGGTTCTCTTTCATCTCTTCTGTTCACAACCATGTGACATCACAGCTGCCAGTTCTTTATCTGGTTTTGGCCTTCATAAGCATCACGTCCTTCCCAAGAACCTAGGATGTCGTAATGTGTCGGCACAGTCGATGTGGGGATCAAAACTGGGTGGCCTTTTGCAACAGACAAATGGAAATCTTGTCAATTGCACAGATTATTATTATTATTAACAACCTTGCCTGCTAATAAATAAAAGACAATTGTGACTTTCCTTGTAAATGTTGAACGCAATCTGTTTTTGTGGGAGATAATTTTCCATTGGCAATTCGTGTTGGCTCTGCACAATTTATTATTTGTGGGATGTTGAGTGCTACAATTAAATGATTTTGTTGAAGATGATCAGTCGCCTTTTGTTGCCAACTTTTATTTTTAATTTGTTTTTGTTTGTTTGCTGTTGCTGTTTTGAGGAGGAATTAATAGAATGTCTGATATTTGCACTGTAAATATGGGAAGGTGGCAAAGAAAGGACCATCAATCCTTTAATTCTATGTATTTGGAGCTTGGGGTATTTTACATCCTATTAAAGAGATAAAAGTTTGTGGAATGGAAAGTAGCCAACTGAACCTGCCACAATGCAATTAATAACCAAGATCAAATGGGGTTATAAAACAACTTCTGTGTGTGATTAACATGCAACAGAGTGGATGCTGCCCAAATAACTGCTTTTTGTTTAATGGGACTGTGTGTGCATGCACAAAAGATTGCGGTTCAATGTCTTTCATGTTATGTGTTTCCTCTTTTTTAAATTAATGTGACATAAGGCATTCTTTATGCTAATGTTATAGCTCCTTGGTTAGTTTAAAACCATTATCTCTCTTAATGAATAATTCATCCCCCATTGAAAACTTAACTATATCATTTTTGCAGTGTGTAAATGAAATGTTGAATTGCAATTTGACTTTAAAGGACTTCCTGTTGGGGAGAATCCACATAAAACACCCCAAAACCACTGCATTGGCATTCTTACCTCTTAGTAAAATGTAATTACTTGATAGGAGGTCGATTAAGAGGGTGTTTCTGCTTTTAATTCTGTTTCTTACACTGAAAGGAGGAGGATTGTCCTGTTATCGTTTGTCTTTTTCTTTCCTTTTTAAAATGCTTTCCGCTCCCCTTCATTCCTTTTTTTTTCCCTGAGTCAATATATTATTACAATTAAAAGCTTTTCACTGCTGCATGAGTTACCACCTCATTGCTGCATGAAGACACTTCCTCTGTTATTTTTAATCCACTTCAGTTTCACTTCCTCGGTATTTATTCCAAAGCTCTTTCTATTTCATTTCTGCATCCATCTGTAATTTAAAGGAGAAACTATTGTGGTATTAATGCTTAACCTAGAACTCATAATTTAACCTATTGACTCTAAAATACAGTGACAGCCATCCAGCTGAATAAATATGATGTTAGAGCATCTATAAATATGCACTACATTATTCACCAAGGGCCTCTGAAGGAGGATGAATGATGTAATGACACTGTGAAGTCATGTCACAAAATCTATGCTTTTTTTTTTTACATGTGACATGATATTGTGCACACATATGGAAGAGGGGGAGCCTTTCCATGTTTTTCACAAAACATCTTTCACCGTTTTGACAAAACGTCCAGATTCTAGGATTCTTCTTCTTTTTGTTGTGCCATATCCGGTCATTGGACATTGGTGATCATGTTGGCAATCCTATTTTTGTCAACAGCCACATAAAAAGTGCTGCTGAGTTTTGTCCAAACCAGTCCCTTAGGTTTTGAAGCCATGATGTTCTTCTTCTGCCTGGGCCTTCGTTTGCCTTCCATCTTTCCTTGGAGGATTAAGTGAAGGATGCCGTATTTTTCTGGGTGTCGCATCACATGTCCAAACTATTTTAACTTTCACTTTTTGATGGCTTTGATGATTTCCCCTTGCTTTCCCAGGTGGCTTATCACCTCCTCAATTCTGATTTTGTTAACCCAACGTATATGTAACAGCCGCCTGCAAATCCACATTTCAAATGCTTCTAGTCTCTTCAAGTGGTTTTGTCAGAGACCAACTCTCCACTCCGTAGAGCAGGATAGAAAAGATGTAACATCGGACAAGCCTGATTTTCAGTCTTAGGCTTATGTCATGACTGCAGAAGACCTTTTTTCATTTTGAAGAATGCTGTTCGAGCTTTCTCTATCCTTGCCTTTACTTCACTTCATGTAAATTAAAACCGAGGTATGTGATCCTTTCAACTTTTTCTAATGGTATTCCTTCCGAATTTATCAGTGGTAAATTAATGGGTTGTTTGCTGACGACCATGATCTTGGTTTTTGAGGTGTTAAGCTTCAAGCCGTATTTTTCAGATATTTCTGAGACTCTGTTGATGAGGAGCTGAAGGTCTTCATGTTTACTGACAAACAGAACTGTATCATTAGCATATCTTAAATTGTTGATCTGAACACCATTTACTTTGAGGCCAGCATCAATGTTTTCCAGTTCTTCGTTGAAAATTGACTCAGAGTAGATATTAAATAACAGCGGAGACAGAATACAGCCCTGTCTGACCCCTCTTTGTATTTCTGCATCATCTGAGTATTTGTGGCTTAGTCTCACATTTGCTATGTCAGCATTCTGATGCTGCCATAAAAAGGAGGAGACGAGGGTTGACTTTTCACCTACTTATTTTCTCTGTAGATAATATCCCCTAGGAGATGGGATGGGAGGGGGACATTCCTGTGGGTTGAGGTCAGAAGCTGGGGAGACTGACTTGGAAGATGGCCAATGAGAAGATGAGAATTGGGGAACGGAAAGGGAAGGGTTTGGGGGTCAGAGGGTTAGTATCGGCTACGACGAAGTCGGGGCCAGATCTGTCGTACTCAATAAATGGAATATTTCAGCAAAGATTAATTGTTTGGGAGTGCAATTTATTTGAGATGACATCGAAACCTGACATGCTACCTGATGCCAATATAGATTCTTTATGATTCGGATGTCTTTGTCATCTAGTCCCACTTGTTTCAGGATTTGTAATAGTTTGCTGTGTCTTATTTTATCAAATGCTTTTTCAAAATCGATGAAGCACATGTAAACACTGTAATTGACATCTCTACAGCACTGTACAAGAACTTGAATGCTGAATAGGGCATCTCGTGTACCAAGATTGTTTCTGAAACCAAATTGTGTGTTACTTAGACACGCCTCAATTTTGTTGTATATTCTTCTGTGAATTATTCTCAGGAATATTTTCAGGGCATGACTCATTAAGCTTATTGTTCTGTATTCAGTACACTTCTTTGCATTTATTTTTTGGGGGATAGTCACAAAGATTGACTTTAGCCAATCATTTGGTATCTTTCCTGTTTCATATATTCGATTGAAGAGCTGCAGTAAAAATGTCTTCCTGTTGTCTTCCAGCAATTTTAAAATTTCTACTGGGATATCATCAGGTCCTGTGGCTTTTCTTATTTTTGCTATTTTTATTGTGAGTTCAACCTCCCCCATAGTGATGTTTGGTCCAGTTGTTATACTGTTATTGTCAGCGTCCCAGCACTGACATAGAAAAGGGAGGAGAAGCCTGAACTTTTGCCTGCTAAATCCCTTTGAAGATTAGGTCTCCTTGGAGATGGGAGAGGGGGGAGACATTCCTGTGATCTGATGAAGAAGGAATCAGGAAAGTGACTTGGAAGATAGCCAATGAGAAGCAGAGAATTGGGGATCGGAAAGGGAGGGATTGGGGGGGCAAAGGTCAGTACTGACCGTGAAAAGAGTCAGGATCAGATTGCTGTGCTCGAATAAAGAGAAAATTTCCTTAAAGATCGGCAGTTTGGAAGTTCATTTATTTTGAGATAGCATCGAAACCTGACAGATATACTGTTATGCCCCCCCCCCATTAGCCACGCCCACCAAACCAGTAGCAAAATTTTTTGAAACCCATCACTGGTCTCCAACCATCCCAAACTCTTACATAGGCCAGAAATTTCCCAGTTTTTTTTTTTCTGACTTAATGACATTTATTTATTTCATTTTCTGCCATCGCAATACGATCTTCCAGAAAAAAAAAAATAACAGCTCTATGTTTGTCTCTAACCAGCCAGGCTTCTGCAGGCATCGGAGCTGATAGTTAACTTCACACTGGGAATGAGGGGGAGGAAAATCTTTTCCTTAATTTTCTTCCTTTCTCTCTTTTTAATTCAAGGTCCCTGAGTGAAATCAAAGATACTTCCTTCAGAATCTTTTTTTTTTATCCCCCACTTGAATAGCAGATAATCCCCATCATATTCCACTCTCCCCTGTAATGAAATTAGCACTGTCATTAAGAGATCTAATCGGCATTATTCTCCCTTTCACCAGGTAATATTCACAATGAACCTCGCACAATTTGCTATAGAGTTTCGCGATAATGAAAACCACTTTTGCCTGAATAGAGGCGGAGAGGGGAGAGGAGCTCTTGAAAATTGCAGCACTTTTTTTTCCCCCTTGTAACAATTTCAAAATATTTTATGCTTTAAAAAGAAGAAAAACCTTCAAACTGAACTGCTCATTGTAAATATTAATCTGATGCATAATAGCACTGTCAAGAGCGTCTCCATTCTTTGCTTGTCTTCTAATCTCGAGATTCCTTTCAAGCTGATTATTTCCCCGAACTTTTTGCTAGAGCCATATTGGATTTTTAAGGAGACACTTCAGACTCTGAACCAGTTCTGTCATATGGCTATTCAAATTCTCAAGTGTCCCTGATTGTGGTTCCCCATAGGAGGGAATTAACAAACTGAGAGAGTTGTCTGATTCTCAAGCAAGAAAGGCTGGAGGACATGGAACTGGAGAAGGTATCCATGTGTTACATGTAGCTTCTCTTACATCCTTGGGTCAATGAAGAGTAGGGATGCCAAACCATAGTCAGAATATTCGGTTTTGCTTACCTTCTCCAAGACTTGGAGGAAAGACCACTCTACAAATAATTTTGCTAATATTCTAAAATATCAGTCCGCCAAAACACGGGTGTCAAACTCAAGGCTTGGGGGCCAGATCCAGCTTGTGGGTTGCTTAGATTTGGCCCGTGGGGCCGCCCTGGAAACAGCAAAGTACCAGTCTTCCCAAGCTCCATTTTTGCTGGCAGAGGATTGCAGGAGGCTGTTGCAGCTGAAAACGAAGCTTAGGAGCCCATTTTTGCTGGCAGAGCACTTGGGCCACCACAGGTCCCCCTGACACGAGTGATGTTGAGCTGTCCATGGTCCTCCTGGCCACACACAGCCTGCCCCCCTGTGGTCAAACACAACCCTGATGTGGGCCTCAATGAAATCGAGTTTGACACCCCTGCTCCAAAACCTTAGGGAGAGTACTCTTTTAGGTGTTAAATTTTAGGAGTATAGCGTTGGAAGGGGCCTTTAAGACAGGAATGAAATGCTACCGGTTCGGGAAAATTGGTAGTAATAAAAGTAAAAAATGCTACTGGTTCAGACAAACCAGTAATTAAAAAAATGCTATTGGTTCAGAGGAACCAGTATTTCCAACAATCAGCTGTGCCGCGTGATTTATATTTGCTAGAAAGCAGGAAATCCTGCTTTGTAGTGAATCCAAATTGTGCAGCACAGCTGTTTTCCCCCCTTCGGTGTTCTACTTACCTTAGAAAAGGCTTCTTAAGCCTTCTTTTTCAGTGCTGCATGGCAACGTCTGCGCGTGTGAAGCGAACCGGTAGCAAACCTCGACGGATTTCACCACTGCTTTAAGACTATCTCTTCCCAGATTTTTTCCTTCATGACTGAATACCACCTCTCAGAAAATCTTATCCACCTTCAAGGATTGGTTGTGAGTCTCTTCCTTCATCACTGTTGTAACTTCAAATGGTTGCCGAATGAATGGTCATAACTCAAGGACTATCTGTATTATAAAAAACAATATCACCGAAGGATCTTGTGGCCAGTCAAGTGGGACTAGAACATCAGCAGTTGGTGGGGCAGCAGCAGTCAAACGTTTATTGATGCCACCAAGAGAAGTTTCAAGAAAGTACAGTACATGCCATCCCAAAGGCAAAAGCAGAACTGAATTGTCAGGGGAAATTGTAGCAAAATGAGGTGTATTGAAGAAGGCGATTGCTTTTAACCAAATGGTGCAATATGGCAATATTTTATTTTATTTATTTATTTAGTTTGTCAAATATGTACAAGATAACAGGTATTAGTATAAACATGGACATGAATGAAGGAAATGAATACAAAAAAATGGGGACAGTAAGGCAGGGATGGTAGGCACACTGGTGCACTTATGCATGCCCCCTTTACGGACCTCTTAGGAATGAGGTGAGGTCCATGGTAGACAGTTTAAGGTTGAAACTGTGGG